AAAAAAAATAGAAAAAATGGCAGATGATTTGTTTCAAGTAGTTGCTCTTTAACTTATTAATTAGATTTCATTTTTGTATTATTCATTAATGTATTTATTATATGTACTGTAGGAAGCAGTTAGAGAACTTTCATATGAATTATTTCATAACTATAAGCAAATAAATGATACTGAAATGAAAATACGACTCAAAAATAAGTTAGAAAATAATAAAGATTGTGCAGAACACTTGCATCTATTAGAAGAAAAAAGATTTTCATTCAAAAGATTGTGGTATAAAAATTATATTCAGATATCAGTATTTTTTAATAATATTACATATAACATATATATATAATCTTTAATAATATTATATATAATATATTTATATATATTAACTTTGTTTATACATAGATGTCAGTAGCAAATCGTCTGAAAAAAGAGTACTATGTTTATCATATTAAAGAAGGGCTTTGGGCTACCTTTGGCATTAGTAGAATTAAACCATTCAATGAACACGATACAAAAGACCAAATAAAACAATGAAAACAGGATTCTAGAAAAGCTTATAAAAATTTATATAATCTGAATAATCCAACTAATCCAAATTTTAATACTTTTCTTGCTTCAATTATACAGTACATTTTTGTTTCTGAAGATGAACAGACTCATATGAATGCTATCTGGACCCAAGCAATCTTGAAAATTATCTTTAATGAATATTACCTTTTTGCCAAAATTGATTCTGAAGTTATTGATATTTGGTTCCAGAAACTTTTAAATAAAAATAATATGATAATGTATATTTATTGTGTATAGTAACCAATAAATCAGTATTAGTTACTATATATCTAATACTAATTATTCTATTAATTATCGTTCGGTTTTTTTTTCTTTTATTTTCTTAAATTTTTTTAATTTTTAGAATATGGAAATTACTTATAACGAATCTTACGAATTAAATGAAAATAATAATAATGGAAATAATGATAATAAAAATGATAGAAATTTGTCTAAATCTTATTATGAAAATGACCAAAGCAATAGTATCGATGAAGATTGTAACGATGATGATAACAATTATATTGAATAAGAGCAAAAAATAAGGATAATAAATAGCTATAGAAGGTTGTTTTACTTGAATAGTCATAGTTATATAACTTACTGTTTAATAAATTAGTTAATAGCATATTGTTAGTTTACTAGTTTATTAATATATTAGCTAATAAATTTGCAAGTTTTTTAAACTATATTAAATAATAAAAATAGTTGTTTAATACATTATTCTGAAGTATTTAAATAGTATTGATTAATGTTTTAAGTTATTTAATACAATAAACTTTGTTGTTAAACATGCTACTAACTAAAATTAGTTGTTTAATACTAATTGTTTAATATAGTTAGTCTGTATAGAGTTCATTTTTCTATACCATTTTAGCATTAAATAATATTATATGTAAACTAATACTTTTCAAATACCTTTAAAACTTCTTAATGTAGTCATGAAATAATTCATATAAAAGTTTACTAACTGCTTTCTATAGTATATATAATAAATGTTGAGGATGATTCTAAAATCGGATGATCTTAAATTTGGAGTCTTGATTTGAAAATATAAACACTACTAAAATTCACCTATACTTTTTTATTATAAACACTAACTTTAACTTCTAATCGAACTATAAAAAAAAAGCTAAACAAATACTCCTAAAAAATTTTTAATTTTTTATAATAAAATAAATTAAAATTTCAGCATCATCCGATTTCAGCATTATCCCCGACAATAAATATATTAATGAATAATACAATTAATAAGTTAAAGAGCAACTATTTGAAATAAATCATCTGCTATTTTCCTCTATTTTCTTTTTTCTTTTTTTTTGCTTATAGCAGGATTATACATTCCTTCAGTATTATCTAACTTTTTAAAAACCTGTTCAAGTTACTTTCATTATTCAGTGATAAGATATTCAAGTTTATTAAAAAAATTTTTTTTTATTTTTTATAAAATAATCAAAAGATAATTAAAATTGATAATTAAATATTTTTAATAGAGTTAGCTAGCCCAGTTGATTAATATTTTCTTTTGGCCAGATTAGCTTAGAGTTTGTTATTAGTCTATATTACTATTTGTATTTCTGTTCTAGAATTGTCTAAAATTCTAAACTAGATATAAAATTATATCTAGATTATCTATATCAGCAAATTAATAAATGCAAATATTGCGAAAGATTTTGTGATACAATAAAATTTTGAAAATAAGTACAATAAATTTCGAAATATTTTAAAAAATAAAATTTTCGAAAAATTTTGGTGAAAATTTCAAAATATTTCGAAATATATTTCGAAAAACTTTAACCAAAATAATTTTGAAATATTGCGAAATCAATAAAATATATTGTTTATATATGAGTGCTTCCAAAAGAAAAGAGCACCTCTATTTTTTAATCAATTATTAATTTAATAATTGTTACGGCTGATGCTGAAGTTTGGCTGATATTGAAGCTAAAAAATCTGATTGGCTAAATTTTGCAGATTACCCTAACCCTAACCAATCAGATTTTTTAGCTTCAACATCAGCCAAACTTCAGCATCAGCCGTCACAATAATTGATTAAAAAACGGAGATGCCCTTTTTCCCTTGGCAGCACTCATTTGATTATATTTGAATAATTTCAAATAAATTCCTTTTTATAAACTTACTTTTATTATAAATAGATATAATTGTTTTTTTTTAATTTTTTTATATATTATTTAAATACTGATCTACTATAAATTTTTTTTTCTAATTAGTTTTTTGCAGTGTATATAGGTGTTATCGCAGTTTTCTTTTTCACAGCGTTTCCTTTTCGAATTGACTTCAGATATATAAAAATCATTACTATATTTATTATTTTTTTTGTTTTTAGTTTTTTTTATTTGTTGGTAGACCACGTTACTACCATCTTTCTTTTTTGTTAATAGTTTCATTTGTCCTCTTCGTTCTTCTGGAATTAACTTTGGATCTGGTGGGTATCTTTATTGTAATTGGTTTTATTTTTTTTGTTTATTACTAACACCTTTCCTTTTTTTTGGTAGTTTTACTTGTCCTTTTTGCTCTTCTTCTGGAATTGGTTTTGAATCTGTGGTATCTTTATTGTATTTGTTTTTTGTTTTTTTTTTGATAATTTCATTTTCTTTTCGCTATTATTCTTCGGATCTGGTAGGTTTTTTTACTGTTCATATTGTTTTTTGTGTTTTTTTGTTTATAAGCCATGTTAATAATGCTCTTCTCTTTTTTTTGGTAGTTTACTTGTTATTTTCGCTCTTTTTCTGAAATTGGCTTCAGATCTGGTGGGTATCTTTCTGTTTATATTGTTTTTTGTTTTTTATTTATGAGCCATACTACTAACACCTTTATCTTTTTTTTGGTAGTTTCACTTGTCTCTTTGCTATTCTTCCAGAATTGGCTTCGGATCTGGTAGGTATTTTACTGTTTATATTGTTTTTTGTTTTTTTTTGTTTGTGACCATATTACTAACATCCTTCTCTTTTTTTTGGTAGTTTTGTTTGTCTCTTCGCTATTTTTCTGAAATTGGCTTGTATATTTTACTATTCATATTGTTTTGTATTTTTTTTGTTTGTGACCATATTACTAACGGCCTTCTCTTTTTTTGGTAATTTCACTTGTCTCTTTGCTATTCTTCCAGAATTGGCTTTAGATTTGGTAGGTATCTTTCTGTTTTTTTGTTTTTTTGTTT